AAATGAACAGAGGAATTAATAGGTATCTATCTGTTTCTTCAACCTAGATTTTATGGTCTTCTAAATCAAGGACTTGTTCTTTTTCTGGGGGAAAAAAAAAAACTCATGCCAAAATTTGAGTATTTCATGTGCTGTTTTTTCTCTTATACTCTCATTCCCTTAAATGTCTACCTTTCCTCCCCTAATTTTCCTCATGTCACTAATACCCCTTTCCCTCCTGGTGTCCCCCAAGGATTTCCTGCTGGTGCCTTAGAGAACCCCTGTTTCATAGGAAATGCACTCTTTTCATCCTGCCTTTTTCTAAAAGAATGTTTTCTCCCACTCTTCACAATAACTCAGTAATTTTCAATCCTATCTGGACATTAGAATCACCTATAGAGCTTTTTTTAAAGGAAAGGAGAGTGAGAGAGGAAAGCAAACAATATCCAGGTCCCACCCTAGACTGATTAATTCAGTTTTGACAAGTGGGTGGGACTCTGTCCATCACTCTTATTAAAAATTCTCTAGATTATTTAAATGTATTGCCAAGCTGTGAATCACTGCCTAAAATCAGCATCTTTTCTGAGAGCACCACTTCTAATAGAGGCCATTCTTTCTGTCACATTTGATAAACAACAGAGAGAGGAGTGCCAGCATTTTTCTTGCAAATCTCTTTATTTATGTGAATCTAAATATATGTCTAGTTTGACGGCAGCAGTCCATCCTTTTCCATCGTTTGTTTTCCATCATTGTCTCACTAGGACCTTGACATCCCACTTAAAGTCACTTTCTCCCCCATAACTCCTACTGTCATTCTGTGAGATCCCAATATGCATATAGTTGATCTCTCCATTGCCATAGCTAAAGAATTTTTGCCTTCCTCAGTTCACTCCAGCATCATCCATGGCCACACCCAGAGTTTGCTATCACCCACTATGGCTTCATCAGAAAAATCATTGAGTCTGTCATCCCAGCCTCTTCCTTTTTAGCTTATGTTCTCATGTTTCTCACATATACCATACCAAGGGTTTTTATGTTTATGGTGTTGTTGCTATTTTATTTTTGCTTTACCTTAAAGGGATAGCTACATTATTTATTTCCCCTCATTTTTCTGCCAGTCTTTCAGTCCCTGTTGCCTCACTTTCTTCCTGGACCGAATGGTTGACCTAAACTACTTTAGTATATTTATTTCCCTTGATCCCCAGTCAGCTGCATTGTCCCAGTGAAATCCTAACCCTAGTTCGAGCTCTCACACCGTTTTCTCTGCTTTTTAATCTCTGTACCTGAGCCCTGCTACAAATGGATGATTTCTATTTCTGTTAGGGCCTCAACATTTCAGGAAAATCTTTTTCTTTTCATTTCTATTTCAAATTCCCTCAATATATACTCCAAACCTTCACCTGTCTTTTCAATACCCACTTTACTCACAAGAATGACTGTATCTCCTCCTACACCAAGGAAATTGAAATTGAAGCATATTCTTTCTCAACTCTGTCCCCCTCAACCCTACCACCTCTAAACTCACTCAGCCAATAGCAAAAAGCCATGGAGTAACTGATCAAATTACTTTCTTGAAATATCTTCTCAGATGTTCCATAAGCACCTCAAGCTGCACTTAATTTTTCCCACCCTTCCCCAATCTTCCTCTGTATTGCTTATCAACCCAAAATTCTGCCAGTCATTCTTGACTTTTCTCTCTCTCTCTTTTACATCAAGTTCTGTCCTTTTAAATCCTAAATATTTCTTAAACGATGTCTTTCTGTTCCTACCACCGCTTCTCTATTGGAAACCTTCATCTCTCACCAGAGCTATTTCAGCAGCCTTCCGCCTCATTCAGTTTCCTGCAGCCCATTCTCTAAATGGTGCCAGAGTAATTTTTCATAAATTCAGGTTGGATCATGTCATTTTTCTCCTGAGAGCCTTTTAGTGACTCCACCTTGGCCGCAAGATAGCGTTCAAGCCCCTCAGTATGGAAAACACAACCTTTCATTATCTGACCTGCACTGTCTCACCTGCTTCATCTCCATTCCTCCCTATCACACACCGAAAATTTAATGCTGTAACAATACCCAGCTATTTAACTTTCCCAAAATATGAGCTGAAGTTTCATATGTTGGTATATTTGCTAATACTGTTTTCTTTTACCTAGAACATTCTTACATTTTTCCTTATCTTCCAAGGTTAAGTTTGAATATTTCAGGAATCTCCTTCTGTTATGCAAATAAAGTTAGGTGCCTAGCCCTTGCACTCTCATAACATCCAGTATATTCCTGAATTACTGCATTTGGCATATGGTATTAAAAATTCTGTTTCCACATCTATCTCCCCCACTAACATCTCTTTAAGAGCAGGAACCAGGGCTGGGCCAGGCGTGGTGGCTCACACCTGTAATCCCAGCACTTTGGGAGGCCGAGCGGGCAGATCACAAGGTCAGGAGTTCAAGACCAGCCTGGCCAACATAGTGAAACCCCATCTCTACTAAAAATACAAAAATTAGCCGGACATGATAGTGTGTGCCTGTAGTCCCAGCTACTCAGGAGGCTGAGGCAGGAGAATTGCCTGACCTGGGGGACGGAGGTTGTGGTGAGCCAAGATCGTGCCACCGCACTCGAGCATGGGCAACAGAGTGAGACTCCATCTCAAAAAACAAACAAACAAAAAAAAAAAGAATTACCTCATTCTTTTTAATGGCTGAATAGTGTTCTTTATGATGAATATGTACCATAATTTATTCATTCTCTTATTGAATGATATTTGCTTTCAATTTTTCACTATTACAAATAATTCTCCAGTGATTATCCTTGAGCAAATATTCTCATGCTGTTGTTCATGTAATTCTGTAGGAGAAATTCCTTTTTTTTTTCTTTTTTTTTTTTTTTCTGAGACAGAGTCTCACTCTGTCTCCCAGACTGGAGTGCAGTGACATGATCATAGCTCACTGTAAGCTCAAACTCCTGTGCTCAAGCTGTCCTGCTGCCTCAGCTTCCCAAGTAACTGGAACTATAGGCACTTGCCACCATGCCTGGCTAATTTAAAACATTTTTTTTTTCTTTAATGATGGGGTCTTGCTGTGATGCCCAGTCCAATCTCAAATTCCTGGCCTCAAGTGTGGGATAAAAGTAGAACTGTTGAAGGAGAGATGCATTTTCATTTTGTGTTAACAAGTCACTCACAAAAAGGTGATACCCATTTGCAGTTCCTGCAATAGGTATTAAAGTGCTCTTGTCCCCACACGCTCACTGACACTGAGTATTAATGGAAGATCTGCTCTTGTTTGTAGCCCTAGGAAAGAATCCAGTTTAGAGGAGGAGTTTGTAAGTTATAAGAAAAAGAGATGATTGACAGGCTATAGTCACAGAGGGGATGGGTCAAGATGGTATCAAGAGTGCAAATAAAAGGTAAATTTTTTGAGACATTAGGAGAGGAATAGTAGATGGGTGAATATGGAAATAAATACAAATGAAGGAAGAAATTTTTCATGTAGTCATCTTTATTTTAGGGAAATTAGAAGCCAAGTTCCCAGTTGAGATGGAGGATTACCAAGATGGAATTTTGAATAAAGGTACAGAAAAGCTTCTGTGAAAATGCTGTAAAGAAGCAGAAAGCAGTCAGTATTGGGAGTTCGACTGAGCTGAGAATGAATCAATTTTGGGGAAGCCAATGGTTGGGGTCACATTAATTTTTCTACAAGAACAAGCAGAGATGTAGTCATTGGATTTGCCTGGGTTTGGGGCCTCTGGGTTGACATAAATTTATATAACATTCACAATAAGGTACTTTTATTTTCCATATTTTCCTGTTCCATGAGTGCAATTTGTATAACCCTAAGTTACACATCTTCTGGTTGGTCTGCAGAGGAAAATGACCTCTGTGTTCTGATTTTAAAAAAAAAGGAGAGAGTATCACTTGTACATTTCCTTGTGCCTACTTTATTAAGCCATATAACTAATGATTTTATTTTCTTTATATAATTCTGAACATAAAACCATTTGCTTTCTTGGTTTTTATTAATAAATTATGATACAAGCAAACACTGCTAAAAATTCTGATCAGTATAAACCAGAGACATTTATAGAAGATTATGTGATTTGAATACTGGTCAAAGGCCACCTGGAATAAGTGATAGACCTGGCAACACTCCATTCAGCTTATTCTTGTCTAGAGATTCCCTCTGCTTCTGGGGAGTTTAAACATTTTAATTTTAGAATCTTGTGTTTTCAGTAGCTGCCTCTATGCATTTCCAAGTCTTTTTCTTTAATTTTCACATTATTTATGGGCATGGGGAAGACAAAACCAAAGTGTCATGAGTTTGTTGTGAACAAACATGAAGAGGGAACAATGAGAGATAACACATCATTAGAATATTTCTCGCTAAAATAAGAAAATATTATAAGAGGAAATGTGCTAATGGTGGGAACACAGTTTAATAGAGAAGAAAATATGTACATGTGTTCATTTTCATTAAAATGCCTATTCTATATTTGTCTTGTTGACCTTTCAATGAAATTACGTAAGTATGGAGTCTAGTTCTTCTACATGCATTGTTACACTACTTCTTACATACTCTGGGTACATAATAAATACTGATAACAATTGAAAATTAGAAACACAAATGCATTTGTGTGAGGCACATTGGTGATATTTTAATCCCTAGTATTCATTTTTAGTACTTGGAAAACATCTTAGATATGCAAGTCTTGTTTTAGCATACTTTTTATTTCTATAGATAGCCTGGTTCTTAGTCATACTCTGCGACTTTATTAGCTGTTTCATCAGTTTGAATCTTATTTCCCCAAATCCCAGTGTGAGCTTTTTGAGAATAAAGACCATTTCTTTTCCAAAATTGTTGTGACAGGACACAAAATAGATGTTGAGTAAATTACTTAAATTACACCTCAATAAAAAGTAAGATAAAGAAAGTTCTTAATGAATTGCATTTAAACCCATATTGAATTTAAATATCTGTATGCTGTGTGTCCCCTTCTGTGCCTTCAACAGTTTATTCATCGTTGTTCTTTCAGTTTATTAAAGTCAAACTGCGATGGCTGGCTGCTTGGAACATCATCATCCGTTAAAAAGTACCAAGAAACCCCAAACAGTGGAGAGAATAGGAAGGAGAAGAAGACAGTTGGGTTTCATTCGCATATGAAAGATGATGCCCAGTGGTCATGTCAAAAGAAAGATACGTATAGACCCCAAAGAGGTAAGTTTAACAACTGTAGTGGCAAAATGAGAAGCTGGTAGGTGAAGGTAGTTGCCAGCCAGTGAATTTCAGATGATTTCCTACAATGCTGAGCAAAAGTCAAATGTTTACGCACTGAAGTGTGCCTGCAAGGCCACAGGTAACACATTTACTAGATTAGTGAATTGTATCTGCGTTTTTTTTAGAACACTGGAATGAAAAACTGTATCCAACTTGCCCCTCTTTTTGCAAGCAATACCTGTTAAGAATTAGTCAGCAGTAAGTATGGTCATAGACTAAAATAATGTTCCAAGTGAGTAAAGAGGGTAAGATACTGAACATAAATCTCTCCTGGAAAAATAAACCCTAACAACTACAGTTAATCCTCAATTGACTGGAATCATGGGGAGGGTGGAAGAGAGGTCATGGACAACTCCCCATATTGTGACTAAAGCAAAATCTCACAAGTGTAAAGCATATTTTGCCTAGCAGTCTTTTTAAGTGTCAGTAATACTTCCTGTTATATGTGGTAGATTTTAAAGAAATCAATTATAAATAACTATGTTAAATGTTGAGTGAAGCAAATGTATTTGTTTCCCAGTTCCAGGAGAGGCTTTTGGCTTAATCTATCCTGGCATCCTTACAGGATCGACTTTGGAAAAGAATGGAGCAAATCTGAGCTTTATTGTACAGAAAAGATGTACAGGAAACAAAGGCCCAAAAAGACGTCTGAGCCCTCTCCTGCTCACACTTCTTTCCTAGGTGTCTTTTTTCCCTTCTCACAACCATTAATCCTGATTTCCTTCTTATTTACCTGTTTTTCTACTGGGCCAGGACCTTTCTACCTCTGGTGTCATGCAACCTACTTTTCATAATCTCTGTAGCCACTCTTACATTTATTTATTTGAAAATTGGGCAGTGCTTTGTGAGATCTTGCAGTTGTGTATCTCCCTGCCTTTTTTCATCTGCTACTAGCTCTGTCATGCTTTTTCGGTTTGATTATGATTAATCTAGAAATTGTTTAATCCTATTCCACATAATTGAGAGATGATAATTCATTCAAATTTTGGGAGGGAAGACTATCCACAATTTGAAATAAAAGCAAAAGTACGTTTTGTTTGACATAAGGCAAAGAAAGGTTTTGTAGACTTCCATTGCTTTAGAACAACTTAGAAGTTTCCTTTTGGACATTGCTTCCAAAAATAAAACTTAAATTGAAGAAACTTTATGAGGTAGAATCTTTACTTTCTCTGTTAGTGGTCCTTCAGAAATGGAAAACCCTTACCTCAGCTTCCTCTGCTCTTAGTCATTGCACTTTGGAGAGTGAAGAACTAGTCGCAACTGGTGTGGTGGTTACACTGCAAAGCTTAACATAGTCTTCGGTTAACTTGTCTTCAAATTTGTGTTGTGTGGCAGCACTAAGATAAAATGGCAAAATGAGAAAAAATATAGTGTAATAGCAAAAGAACAAATAACTTGTGTTATTGGTTAAGACCACAGCAACAGTAGAAAGCAGCAATTGAAAAGGCACTTTGAGAAAGATATCATCAGGCCAGCCCTTGCTGTGGTGGAGGTTAATCTCTCCTGGGCCTAGCTACAGAAGCCAGAAACCTGAAAAGGGCTTGTGTCCAAAAAAAATCAATTTCTAATTTGAAACAAAATCATTTTTGACTAACAGGGGTTCAGAACCCATTACTTTTTGCTGTATAGTCTGCTGACATTTCAGCACTTTCTGTTGTGCACAATGAATCCTAATAGTCATTTTATAATGTTGCTATACCAATCAATTTAACCAAGAGAAAGCTGTTACAATTCTGCAAAGTTTTCAGGAACAGTTTTCACTCATGGTTTTATTTTTTCTTCCATTAGGTTTTTTCCCCCTTTTTTTTGTGGGGCCACGTGGGGGAAGGTTGTAGTGTTGCAGTAAAAAAAAAAAAAAAAAGAATAGAAACTTTTTCATCTTTTTAAGAGTTTTTATTTTAAGGCATTCACAGAAACTACTGACTCTTTTCTACTCATGAAGAAGACCGTCTTGTATTTTCCTTTTCTTTTATTGTAATATGGAGCTGTTAGCAAAATTATGATCTACATGACCATTAAAGAGGCTAAAGTTGCCCCCCTTTGAGCCATTCTGCCCATTGCACAGCTAGTGTATGCAGATTATAGTACAGGGCAAAGTTATTGCATTGGCATTTGCTGTGGCACCCAACCAAATGGGAGATATAAACTTTCCATGGATGCGCAGTAGACTTGGAAACCCTGTTTATCATAAGGCCGATGACCTGGCACTAATCACCTAAGTTACACTGCTTGGTTTAGCACCTTCTTAATTGCTTTACCCTCTTTAGTGTGTCTGAATTTTTTAATACACTTTTCTTCTGTCTTATATCTTTTGTTTCTTTTGCTGTTATCCTTTACTCATTAAGTACTACATAGGACATTTACTACAGGACCATTAATCTTTATTACCAGTCTCTTACTCTCTTACCTCTCCTATCCTCCTCACCATTCTGCCAGCTTTATGATGCTAAACATGTGGGGAAAAAAAAAAAAAAAAACAGACTATTGTCTCAAGAAACAACCTTATGATAGCAAAGATATGTACAGTATTGTCAAAATTACACTTAAGGTATATAAACTTGTTCATTCATCAGTTTTAGTTGCTTTTATTGAGCAGTGTCAAACAGGGAGATAATACTTGGGAAAATCTAAACTTGAATAAAGAACTTTTAAAAGGCATAAATCTGGAAACACCTGATCTTCATTCCTCTTTTTTCCTCCCTTGCAGCCTCAAAACATTTTCCACCAGCTTGCCTAGAACCTCCCTTTCCTGAGCAATCATCGATATTCCCTTTTATCAGAACCCTCAAAGCTGAGGGCATTTTTTCTTGTTATGGTGATGGGCTAGCAGAGGCTGTGAAGCCACTGAGCGCGCAATTTCCAGAACTGAAATGTTAAACCTCTGATCTTGGCACTGCCCCTTCCTAAGTCAGGCTGTAAAACCTGACTTTGGCCGCTCCCTTCCTCCTTTTTGTTCCTCCTTCGTGAAACTCTTAAATTCCCTTAAAATGTTGGCAGAGGCTGAACCTAGGATAATTTGGATTTACCTGATGGTATACGTTGTGCCCTTCATTTTGCCTTTGGGGTTTTCTTAGGTTATTTGATTTTATATAGCAGCTGCCACTGGTTGAGATCCCCTAGTAACTCCCACTTTTTTTTCCCCACTGGACGATGATTATTCTAGACTCAGCTGAAGTAAAGAATAATCTCAGAAGCTCCTAGTTGTTCCTGTAAGTGAACCTGTGCTTAAAATGATGTGAGTACTCTTCATAACCCCAGGTGGATTAAAGTAGGTGACATGCTTAAAGAAATGAACAATTGGAGTGTCCAAAGTACAGAAATCATTTCTATCTTGCCTCTAAGGAGCATTTCTCATGTTTCTTTAATTATTACCATCATGATCATTATTCTTTGTTCAACCATAAAGGTACCTTAAGATACTACTTCTGATACCCAGAAATCTCAGCTGAAGATACGCCAAAAGTTGATGTCTTTGTCAACAGCACATAGAATGCAAGCATCATAGAAGGCTATGAATAAACCCAGATATGTAGAATAAATCTTCCTGGCCAGTCCACTAAAAAAAGGAATTCAAATGTAGGAGACTAGTGTTAAGAGTTGATGTTAATATATATGAAATATTATCACCTAAACCAGAGGGTCTACATTTCCCATTCTCTAAAATGGAAAGAAATTTCTCGAAACACTATGTGGTCTACTTATTTATTATATATGTTTTGTATCTTCTCCCTCAGAATATAAGTTCCATATGTTCACTGTTGTATCCCCATCTCCTACAACATTGCTTAACATGTGGTGTGGTAGGTACTCATTATACATTTGTTGAATGAATTAACATAACGTATATATTGATTTTTCTTTCGATGCCCTTATTCTGTGACTCAGGTAGACTTTTTCACCTCAGTACCTGCTGTGATTTATTGATTTAAGCAAAATATGTGCTTGTCTCTTCAAAATTCTTATGGTGATCAATTGGTAATGCTAAAGAGAAATCAGTAGAGTAGACTCTTAAAAATAGTACTGGTCAGGTGTGGTGGGTCACGCCTGTAATCCCAGCACTTTGGGAGGCTGAGGCAGGAGGATCACCTGAGGTCAGGAATTTGAGACCAGCCTGGCCAACATGGTGAAATCCCATCTCTACTAAAAATAGAAAAAATTAGCCTGGTGTGATGGTGCGTACCTGTAGTCCCAGCTACTCAGGAGGCTGAGGCAGAAGAATTGCTTGAGCCTGTGAGGCAGAGGTTTCAGTGAGCCGAGATCACTCCACTGCACTCCAGCCTGGGTGACAGAGCAAGACTCTTGTCTTAAAAAAAAAAAAAAATTGCTGCCTTAGGAGTCAAGAAAATATGGGGGGAGGGGGTTCTATTGTCTTGTATTTTAATTGAAGTTTAATTTATATACACTAAATTGTAGAGGCTTTAAATGTATAGTGTGATAAATTTTGAAAAGTATATATACCCGTGTAACCACTACCCCAATTAAGATATAGTACATTTCCATTTTCAATAAATCCTCATCCTCTTTTCTAGTCAATCCTCCTGAGGCCTTTCGTCTTGGGTTGCTGATGGCTGCCTTCTCACTGCATCCTCACATGGCCTTTTCTGTGTGTGCATCCCAGGAAACGCTTCTGCTTCTTATAAGGACACCAGCCACTCTCAGACCCACCCCTATGACCTCATTCAACTTAACTACCTCTTTAAAGGTCTTGTCTCCAAATATAGTCATTTTCTGAGGTGTCCTGGACTTTAGGACTTCAGATTACTTAGGGAAGGCACAACTAAGTCCATAACCACTTTCTTTCCAATTTTTGTGCCTTTTCTTTCTCTTTCTTATATAATCAGACCATTTAGGGGTTTTATTACAATATAGAATACAGTGAAAAAAGTAGACTTCCATGCCTTGTTCCCAGCCTTGTAGGGAAAAGATAGTCTTTCACCATT